CTATTATAAAACACAGACCTGCCGGAGGGTGAGGGAGGGATTCCTGGAGGTCACATGACATCCGACTACTAACTTCTATTAATAAAACACAGACCTGACGGAGAGAAATGAGGAGGCATTCTGGGCGAGTCTAACATGATATTCCTATTGGTTCCCCAATAAAAAACAGAGATTTCCTACCTTGAAGTCAGGTGATCATATGACCCATCACAGTGCCTCCATGTGACTCCTAAAACCTGAGAGACACAACATGCAGAAGATTCTAGAAGTCACCAAGAAGATTGATGGAGATGCTGACAGGAGAGCGGTGAGCGGTGCCGGGAATTCTGGGACATTCTCCAGTAACAGACAAGGGATGTGTCTGGATGGTGACTGTATCATTGTGTGTGTCAGGTTCCTATAAGGTGTCAGGGTTTGTCACTGTCTTTTCTCCATGGAGGAGTGGGAGTATTTAGAAGGACACAAGGATCTCTACAAGGACGTCATGATGGACATTCAGCCGCCCCTCACATCACCGGGTAAGAGGAGACTTTATTGTAAAAGGAGTCGAGGAGAGCAGTACGGAGGATCCACCTAGATCCCCCATCATCTGATAAACACATAGAAACAATGGATTCAGTCAGTGTGTGTGTTTCCTACAGATGGATCCAGTCATGGGAACCCGACCAGAGAGATGTCCCCGTCCTCTGTATTCCCGGGATTCCACACAGGAAGGTCACACCATCCTCACCATCATCAGGTAGATGAGGAACAATCACTGATAGTATCATTAGGATCTGTACATTCTCTGCATTGTTACCATTGATGTCATTTTATTATATATTCAGGAGTGGAGACTGAGAGATCCTAAAGCTAAATGAAGAGATAGAGGAGAATGATGAGGATGGGGGGATGGAGGAGTCAGAGCTTCTAAAGGAACACAAAGATCTGTACCAGGACACCATGGTGGAGTCATCCAGCTACAGGAACCCCCAGAGAGATGTCCCCGTCCTCTGTATTCCCGGGATTCCACACAGGAAGGTCACACCATCCTCATCATTACAAGGTTGGTGGGATGGAGAATCTAGAACATGGACTTATGAAGATGATGAGTGGATTGTTTATGTGACCTTATATTTTACAGATGATATTTTCTCTCATTTCCTTGATTTAGAGTGGAGATCCAATCGATATAGAATTTGAGGTGAAATCAGAAGAAGAAGAGGCGTATGTGAGGGATGATCAGCAGTCTATGGAGGAGGATGGAAATAACGGGGACATTTATAGAGGAGGACACTCCTACAGAGATCAGCACAGGTGGGTCATGAACACTAAATCCATTCCTCCACCCATACTGCTCACTGATTGGTCCAGAGTAGGGCGGGGACTGGGTGATATCATTCAAAAAAGAGGGGTTTGTGAAAAGAGATTCACAGGAAAGCGGCTACATAATGAATAGAACGTGACACACAGAAAATTTCCAAAAATTATGCTTTATTACACATATATAGATATGACATATGGGCATAATGCCTGGTTTACCATCACCTCAGTATGAGACAATAACACACAGACCCTAAAACCATATAAAATGACATCAAGACCGGTCTAAATGCATGTGCAACAGAAAAAATGACTTCAAGAGTCAAATACCTCTGCAGCGCAAGCACATAGGTGAACACTTCCATGAGGAGGTGTATCCAAAAATTGTACCATAAGTATACCATAATATTGAATATGCAATGAATGACAATATCATACTGGTGAATCCCAATAAGGGAATCCAAAAAATTTATACTATGGATATATATATATATCACATGTATGCAGAGCAGCAGCACAAAAAGCGTGGAGAGGAGAACAATAGCCAAGGGCCTGTATGGAAAAAGACATAAATGTCCCAATATATGATACAATGCATTCCTGTGCCAGCACACGTGGTTGGGGCCATTCATCTGTAATATGAACAGCTGTATCTCAGAGCTTTTAAATGAAAATAAGCCCCAATTATTCCCAGGATGGGAGAAAAGATGCAAAATAGCAACACTCTGCTTGAAATGGTGTCTTCACCACTGTTTGTGGACTACACACCACCTTTTGTAGAGAAAACACAACAAGACATATCCCAAGGTATCTTCTGCTTGTAGAAATATATTATGGTGGTATATCTTGTGTCCTACATAGAGCACCATGATGTCCCCATCCTGTAGTAAAAACAAATAATGTGGGAAGTCACTGACAGAGCTTACACTCAGTGAGATATATAGATCATATAGATCACAAAGGACCATATATCTAATGTCCCGCAACAATCCACTCACCACCTGTGCTGTGGAAAATAAAAATGAAAGAGATGTCCCTCATGGGTACTGCCATACACGGCCACAGAGACCAGGGAGCCACCGCTGACATCCACCGATTATACCGCGGGCTCCAGCCCCCTCTTGGCGCTTGTGCTGCTCACGCTTGCCTCATGGCATGTGAAGATGGCTTCCTCCTCATGGACCAGCGTGCGTTCCACCTAGTGCGCATGACCGGAAGTGACGTAACTGACGTATGACGTCAACGCGTTTCGCCGAAATGGGCGTATCTCACTCAGCTTCGTCAGGACCAATGAGATATATCCTGACGATATACCACAAGATATACCACTCCATATATATTTCTACAAGCAGAAGATACCTTGGGATATGTCTTGTTGTGTTTTCTCTACAAAAGGTGGTGTGTAGTCCACAAACAGTGGTGAAGACACCATTTCAAGCAGAGTGTTGCTATTTTGCATCTTTTCTCCCATCCTGGGAATAATTGGGGCTTATTTTCATTTAAAAGCTCTGAGATACAGCTGTTCATATTACAGATGAATGGGCCCCAACCACGTGTGCTGGCACAGGAATGCATTGTATCATATATTGGACATTTATGTCTTTTTTCCATACAGGCCCTTGGCCTATTGTTCTCCTCCTCCACGCTTTTTGTGCTGCTGCTCTGCATACATGTGATATATATATATATCCATAGTATAATTTTTGGATTCCCTTATTGGGATTCACCAGTATGATATTGTCATTCATTGCATATTCAATATTATGGTATACTTATGGTACAATTTTTGGATACACCTCCTCATGGAAGTGTTCACCTGGTTGTGCTTGCGCTGCAGAGGTATTAGACTCTTGAAGTCATTTTTTCTGTTGCACATGGACATTTAGACCGGTCTTGATGAGTCATTTTATATACTGGTTTTTAGGTCTGTTGTGTTATTGTCTCATACTGAGGTGATGGTAAACCAGGGCATATGCCCATATGTCATATCTATATATGTGTAATAAAAGCATAATTTTTGGAAATTTTCTGTGTGTCACGTTCTATTCATTATGTAGCCGCTTTCCTGTGAATCTCTTTTCACAAACCCCTCTCTTTTTTGAATGCCTTTTTTGGCTACTGAATAGAAACCAAATATTGGGTGACATGATAACTTAATTGATAACCTCTTAACAATTACCTTTATTATACTGGGTGATATCAGCCTGTAATCCCCTGGTCACTTTCCTGAGCTGTGTTCCCGTCCCTGTATTCCTGGATTTCTCTCGGATAATCTTCCTTCTCTGTGCTGCAGACACAATTTATGTCTCTAGGACTGGATTTATGGAGGTTCTGGGGTTCAGCTGGCAGGAAAATGTTGATTTTTCCTATAAGTACATAAGTACAATAGTACAGAGATGACCAGTACAGGAGATGACCAGAGACTGCGGACACAGTACATGACCAGAGGACTGCGGACGGTACAGGAGATGACCAGATGCGGACACAGTACGGAGATGACCAGTACAGGAGAAACAGTAAAGGAGATGACCAGAGACTGCGGACAGTACAGGAGATGACCAGAGACTGCGGATACAGTACAGGAGGGATGTGACCAGAGACTGCGGAACAGTAAAGGGAGATGACCAGAGATGCGGATACAGTACAGGAGATGACCAGAGACTGCGGACACAGTACAGGAGATGACCAGAGACTGCGGATACAGTACAGGAGATGACCAGAGACTGCGGATACAGTACAGGAGATGACCAGAGACTGCAGACACACTACAGGAGATAGTCAGAGACTGCAGGGGACACACTACATTGGATCATAGTCAGAGGCTGCAGACACACTACAGGAGATAGTCAGTAGACTGCAGACATAGTACAGGAGATGACCAGAGACTGCGGACACAGTAAAGGAGATGACCAGAGACTCGGACACAGTACAGGAGATGACCAGAGACTGCGGACACAGTACAGGAGATGACCAGTGAGACGGGACACAGTGGAGATGACCAGAGACTGCGAACATAGTTATAGGTGATGACCAGAACTGCGGACATTAGTTTTATAGTTTACAGAGATGACCAGAGACTTGCGGACACAAGTTACAGGAGATGACCAGAGATAATCCTACAGGCAGATGACCAGAGACTGTCGACACAGTACAGGAGATGGACCAGAGACTGTATTGGACACAGTACAGGAGATGACCAGAGACTGCGAACATAGTACAGGAGATGACCATAGACTGCGGACACAGTACAGGAGATGACCAGAGACTAATAGACATAGTACAGGAGTTGTCAGAGACTGACACAAAACAGTACAGGAGATGACCAGAGACTGCGGACACAGAAACAGGAGATGAACCAGAGACCTGCAGGACCAGTACAGGAGATGAACCAGAGACTGCGGACACAGTACAGGGATTTCTCCCAGAACACAGTACAGGAGATGACCAGGACTGCGGACCACAGTACAGGGATGACCAGAGACTGGAACAGTACAGGAGATGACCAGAGACTGCGGACACAGTACAGGGGATGACAGAGACTGCGGACACAGTACAGGATTTATATGACCAGAGGACTGCAGGACAACAGTACAGGGATGACCAGAGATGCGGACACATTTACAGGAGATGCCAGAGACTGCAGAGTACAGATCCAGGAGTATGACCAGAGGAATGGGACAGTCCAGGGGCATGACAAGAGATGGCTTGACCTTGTGGGGGGGAGGGAGGGGTACTGAATTTTGATACGGTCATACGGTCCCACCTTCTATACAGATTTGTCCCCCTTTTTAGCATGCCGCATGGGCACCCGCTGATCACAGCTGAGTGGCCCACACTAAAGAAGCCGCGGTGGGAAGACTTTGTACAGCGCTGGACCGAGGATCCAGGTGTTCAGTGCTGCAGAGAAGAGGGAGCGGCACTGGCCCGGGAGTATTCTGGCGTGGCGGAGGAATACCAGATCAGCCTGCACACCTTATCACTCTCCATAAAAACACTGCAACACTGTTTCTACTCTTTTTTTGGTAAAAAATTGCGTTTATAGAGCGAAAAAATACAGTAGTTAGTGTGGCTGAAAAATAACAGTCCATCTAGTTGGAACCATTAAAAATAAAAGTTATAATCCGACACCCACAGGAGATCCACCCAAAAGGCAAAAAACCCAGCAAAAATCAACGATCCAATCTCCTCCTGCAGGGGAAAAAATTCCTTCCTGACCCCCCGAGAGCAGGCAATCGGATTATATCCCTGGATCAACTTTCCCTATAAATGTTATATCCAGTTATATTCTGTGTATCCAAGAAATGGAGATCATATCCCCCCTTATGTATTATACATGGAGTATCATATCCCCCCCTTATGTATTATACATGGAGATCATATCCCCCCTTATGTATTATACATGGAGATCATATCCCCCCCCTTATGTATTATACATGGAGATCATATCCCCCCTTATGTATTATACATGGAGATCATATCCCCCCTTATGTATTATACATGGAGATCATATCCCCCCTTATGTATTATACATGGAGATCATATCCCCCCTTATGTATTATACATGGAGATCATATCCCCCCCTTATGTATTATACATGGAGATCATATCCCCCCTTATGTATTATACATGGAGATCATATCCCCCCTTATGTATTATACATGGAGATCATATCCCCCCTTATGTATTATACATGGAGATCATATCCCCCCTTATGTATTATACATGGAGATCATATCCCCCCTTATGTATTATACATGGAGATCATATCCCCCCTTATGTATTATACATGGAGATCATATCCCCCCCTTATGTATTATACATGGAGATCATATCCCCCCCTTATGTATTATACATGGAGATCATATCCCCCCCTTATGTATTATACATGGAGATCATATCCCCCCTTATGTATTATACATGGAGATCATATATCCCCCCTTATGTATTATACATGGAGATCATATCCCCCCTTATGTATTATACATGGAGATCATATCCCCCCCCTTATTATGTATTATACATGGAGATCATATCCCCCCTTATGTATTATACATGGAGATCATCCCCCCCTTATGTATTATACATGGAGATCATATCCCCCCCTTATGTATTATACATGGAGATCATATCCCCCCCTTATGTATTATACATGGAGATCATATCCCCCCTTATGTATTATACATGGAGATCATATCCCCCCTTATGTATTATACATGGAGATCATCATATCCCCCCTTATGTATTATACATGGAGATCATATCCCCCCTTATGTATTATACATGGAGATCATATCCCCCCTTATGTATTATACATGGAGATCATATCCCCCCCTTATGTATTATACATGGAGATCATATCCCCCCTTATGTATTATACATGGAGATCATATCCCCCCTTATGTATTATACATGGAGATCATATCCCCCCTTATGTATTATACATGGAGATCATATCCCCCCCCTTATGTATTATACATGGAGATCATATGGAGATCATATCCCCCCTTATGTATTATACATGGAGATCATATCCCCCCCTTATGTATTATACATGGAGATCATATCCCCCCCTTATGTATTATACATGGAGATCATATCCCCCCTTATGTATTATACATGGAGATCATCATCCCCCCCTTATGTATTATACATGGAGATCATATCCCCCCCTTATGTATTTATACATGGAGATCATATCCCCCCCCCTTATGTATTACATGGAGATCATGGAGATCATATCCCCCCTTATGTATTATACATGGAGATCATATCCCCCCTTATGTATTATACATGGAGATCATATCCCCCCCTTATGTATTATACATGGAGATCATATCCCCCCCCTTATGTATTATACATGGAGATCATATCCCCCCCTTATGTATTATACATGGAGATCATATCCCCCCCCCTTATGTATTATACATGGAGATCATATCCCCCCTTATGTATTATACATGGAGATCATATCCCCCCTTATGTATTATACATGGAGATCATATCCCCCCCTTATGTATTATACATGGAGATCATATCCCCCCCTTATGTATTATACATGGAGATCATATCCCCCCTTATGTATTATACATGGAGATCATATCCCCCCTTATGTATTATACATGGAGATCATATCCCCCCCTTATGTATTATACATGGAGATCATATCCCCCCCTTATGTATTATACATGGAGATCATATCCCCCCCCTTATGTATTATACATGGAGATCATATCCCCCCTTATGTATTATACATGGAGATCATATCCCCCCTTATGTATTATACATGGAGATCATATCCCCCCTTATGTATTATACATGGAGATCATATCCCCCCTTATGTATTATACATGGAGATCATATCCCCCCCTTATGTATATATACATGGAGATCATATCCCCCCTTATGTATTATACATGGAGATCATATCCCCCCCTTATGTATTATACATGGAGATCATATCCCCCCCTTATGTATTATACATGGAGATCATATCCCCCCCCTTATGTATTATACATGGAGATCATATCCCCCCCCCCCTTATGTATTATACATGGAGATCATATCCCCCCCCTTATGTATTATACATGGAGATCATATCCCCCCTTATGTATTATACATGGAGATCATATCCCCCCCCTTATGTATTATACATGGAGATCATATCCCCCCTTATGTATTATACATGGAGATCATATCCCCCCTTATGTATTATACATGGAGATCATATCCCCCCTTATGTATTATACATGGAGATCATATCCCCCCTTATGTATTATACATGGGAGATCATATCCCCCCTTATGTATTATACATGGAGATCATATCCCCCCTTATGTATTATACATGGAGATCATATCCCCCCCTTATGTATTATACATGGAGATCATATCCCCCCCCTTATGTATTATACATGGAGATCATATCCCCCCCTTATGTATTATACATGGAGATCATATCCCCCCTTATGTATTATACATGGAGATCATATCCCCCCTTATGTATTATACATGGAGATCATATCCCCCCCCCTTATGTATTATACATGGAGATCATATCCCCCCCTTATGTATTATACATGGAGATCATATCCCCCCTTATGTATTATACATGGAGATCATATCCCCCCTTATGTATTATACATGGAGATCATATCCCCCCCTTATGTATTATACATGGAGATCATATCCCCCCTTATGTATTATACATGGAGATCATATCCCCCCTATATGTATTATACATGGAGATCATATCCCCCCCCTTATGTATTATACATGGAGATCATATCCCCCCCCTTATGTATTATACATGGAGATCATATCCCCCCTTATGTATTATACATGGAGATCATATCCCCCCTTATGTATTATACATGGAGATCATATCCCCCCCTTATGTATTATACATGGAGTGATCATATCCCCCCCTTATGTATTATACATGGAGATCATATCCCCCCCTTATGTATTATACATGGAGATCATATCCCCCCCCTTATGTATTATACATGGAGAGATCATATCCCCCCTTATGTATTATACATGGAGATCATATCCCCCCTTATGTATTATACATGGAGATCATATCCCCCCCTTATGTATTATACATGGAGATCATATCCCCCCTTATGTATTATACATGGAGATCATATCCCCCCTTATGTATTATACATGGAGATCATATCCCCCCCTTATGTATTATACATGGAGATCATATCCCCCCTTATGTATTATACATGGAGATCATATCCCCCCTTATGTATTATACATGGAGATCATATCCCCCCTTATGTATTATACATGGAGATCATATCCCCCCCCTTATGTATTATACATGGAGATCATATCCCCCCCTTATGTATTATACATGGAGATATCCCCCCTTATGTATTATACATGGAGATCATATCCCCCCCTTATGTATTATACATGGAGATCATATCCCCCCTTATGTATTATACATGGAGATCATATCCCCCCTTATGTATTATATACATGGAGATCATATCCCCCCTTATGTATTATACATGGAGATCATATCCCCCCTTATGTATTATACATGGAGATCATATATCCCCCCTTATGTATTATACATGGAGATCATATCCCCCCTTATGTATTATACATGGAGATCATATCCCCCCTTATGTATTATACATGGAGATCATATCCCCCCCTTATGTATTATACATGGAGATCATATCCCCCCTTATGTATTATACATGGAGATCATATCCCCCCCCTTATATTATTATACATGGAGATCATATCCCCCCTTA